CAGGCCATGCCTGGTGCTGATTTGGGCTGTGCTTGCAGGTACGTGAACACCCTCCTGAAGCTCATCCCACCTGTGCTGGGGCTCCAGGAGCAGCTGCGCCAGGCGGTCCAGAGCGGGGACATGGAGACGTCGCACGGGATCTGCCGCATCGCTGTGGCCTTGGGGGAGAACCACTCCCGGTGAGTGCTGGAGACTGTCCCCAGCAGAGGGAGTGAGCTTGGAGCAGCCCACTGTTCTCCTCATCCTGCTTTGTCCAGGGCCCGTCTGACACCCAGCGATGTGTGTCAGGGCACAGAGCCAGGCGGTGGTGCCACTCTGACCGTGCTCTCTGCTCCCCAGGGCTCTCCTGGACCAGGTGGAGCACTGGCAGAGCTTCCTGGCCCTGGTCAACATGATCATGTTCTGCACTGGCATCCCTGGGCACTACCCGGTCAATGAAACCACCAGCTCCTTGACGCTTACTTTCTGGTACACATTGCAGGTCAGTGGTCATCATGAGGCAGTCTGCCTGGATCCTGCACTCCAGGCAGAGCTGGAAGCACCAGTGCATGGGGACTGGGCTGCGTTTGGTCCCCAGGGATTTCCAATGTCTCTGCTCCTTGCCCTGCACCTGCAGCCACCACAGGGTGCAGACCTCAGAAATGCTGGCCCTGTGGCTTGCTTTTTCCACCCCCAGCCTTCCTTGGAAGTCTGAGACAGCCTTTATGGGCCTCATTAAAATAACTAATTAAAACTTCATGCTATTTTTTTTTTCCAGCAGCAGACCTGGTTGTTTAGCTGCATGCTGCGTGGCTGCACCGGCTGCAGGCAGGGAGCAGAGCGTCTGCTGGCTTACTGCAGGCTAGACCCTGCTGCTCTCTCAGAGGAGGAAAGAGAAAGGAGGGGGGCTGCTAGTGGCTGCCCGGTGTGGGGCCCCTCTCCCAGGGCCAGTGCTCCCTGCGCCAGCAGAGCAGCCCTGCCACATCGTGCTCTATTTTTAGCCCCTGCTCCTCCACGCAGCTCCATTCCTCCGCAATCCGATGTGGCATGGCTGAGCGTGGGCAGGGAAGGAGGTGATGTTGGCACTGTGCTGGCAGCTCCTCCACTGCATGGGGCAAGGCCAAGGCTCCCACCTCCTCTTGCTGCTTCTCGGGTGGGTCTGAGGATACGGGTGCAGGCAGGAGAGTGCTGTGCTTCCCAGGCACCCATCCCAGCCTGCCCTGCAGAGCCTGAGGCACATGCTCTCCTCATGCAGGCATGCTCCCAAGGCTAGGACAAGGCAGGGCAGTGCCACCCCACAGTAACCATGCTGTCCTCCAATGCTCGAGGGTCCACCCAGCTGCTGGAGCTTCTGGCATCTTGCCTCCAGATAAGGCTGCTGCTGCAGAAGGGTTCGCCATCAGGTGGTCCTTGGGGAGCTGGAAACACAACCTCCAGGGCATGGCAGGTCTGGCCAACCCTAGGAGGTGTCTCTGAGTCCTCTATGCAGCAGGCATGCTAGCTCCATTTTCTTTCCCCTGCAACACCTGATGTATTCCTCCTCCTGCTGCCAGGATGACATCCTCTCCTTTGAGCCAGACAAGCAGGCGGTGTACCAGCAGGTCTACAGGCCTGTCTACTTCCAGCTGGTGGATGTGCTGCTGCACAAAGCCCAGTTCCCCTCTGATGAGGAGTATGGCTTCTGGTCTTCGGATGAGAAGGAGCAGTTTCGGATATACAGGTACAGCTGGGAGGTTTGGGTTTGCTTGGCAGGCAAGGATGCAGGTAGCATCCTGCCACCCTGAAGACTGAGTGCTGTGGGAATACCCAAGGAGGGACACAGAAGAGATTCCTTCCACCAAGATTTGTTCTAGCTGTGGTGGTGTTATGGAAACGAGCTGGAGTTTTGTCATGGCACCAGTTGCCCTGCCTTGGGAGCACTTGATGTTGAGCTGGGGCAGTGTGTTGTGCAGGGCAGCAGTGGGAAAAGTATCGTGTCCATGCCTGGAGCACACTGTAGGGGATGGGGAGAGCACTTGGAGACCGGCTGTGTTCTCTGCAGGGTGGACATCTCTGACACGCTGATGTATGTGTATGAGATGCTGGGCGCTGAGCTCCTGAGCAGCCTCTATGACAAACTGGGACGTCTCCTGACCAACACAGAGCAGCCGTCCTCGTGGCAGGTGAGTGAGGTGACCTGGGTGCCAGGCTGACGGCTGTCAGCCTCTTGGGGACCTATCCTTGCCGTGGGGTTTTTGAGAGCAAAGGCACATGACAGGCGTGAGGAGCATGGCCACCTTGCCAACACACGTGCAGGCTCTCTGGGATCTTGCTGGAGAGAGGAACAGGTCTTCTGCCTCCCTGTCCTGGGCGCTGCCTAGGAACCAGCCTCCTCAGCCACTGGCGGGGTGCCTGAGCTAGTGCCTGGAGCTGAGGCTGGGGTGGGCGTCAGGGTTGCCTGTGTGGCTCTGACAGTGCCTCTGTCACCCTGTCAGCACACGGAGGCCTTGCTCTACGGCTTCCAGTCCATTGCCGAGACCATCGACGTGAACTACTCAGACGTGGTGCCAGGGCTGATCGGCCTCATTCCCCGGATCAGCATCAGCAATGTGCAGCTCGCCGACACCGTCATGTTCACTATCGGTGAGGCCTTTGCTCGCACACAGGCTGGGCCGGGGAGGGGACCCTCTCTGGGACCCCTCCTGTCCAGCAGTAACACTGGTGAAGAGTGAAGCTGAGCGTCCCCTGACATGGGGAGCGAGAGCCCCCGGCACGGCCCCGCGGTCTGACCCCGTCTGTGTGCGCAGGGGCCCTGTCGGAGTGGCTGGCTGATCACCCCGTCATGATCAACAACGTGTTGCCGCTGGTGCTCCAAGCCTTGGGCAACCCTGAGCTCTCTATCTCCAGCGTCTCCACCCTGAAGAAGATCTGCCGGGAGTGCAAGTACGACCTGCCACCCTATGCTGCCAACATTGTCGCCGTGTCACAGGTAGGAGCTGGCTGCAGATGGATGTGTGGCCGTGACCTGGGAGGTGCTCTGTGCACACTTTCCTCCGGACAAAGCGGGGCAGGGGGACGCAAAGCAGCAGCTCAGGGCATCTTGCTTGGCTTTAGGGGATTGTTTTCCTGTCCTGTTCCTAGGCCAGCAGACACAGGTGGCAGGCCCTGTGTCCTGCTGTGAGTGCAGAGATGGCAGGCAGTGGCAGACAGGACTGCCAGGGAGTCTACTGGGGTTGCACTTGTGCATCTGTCCTTTCCCCAGGGATTTGTTTGCGTTACTGGGAGCAGCATCCTGCCAGCTTTACACCCGCCAGGCAGCTAGTGCCACTGCTGAGCATCTTGAGGGGCATCCTGGCATTCAAACCTCTCCGTTGAGACCGAGCTGGCCTCTGCAGTGCCGGGGCAGCTTGTCCCATGGTTCTTCTTGGCTCTCAAGACTTCAGGCAGATGGGGCTCAGAATCCCAAGGCACTTGGAGGAGAGCTGGGCTTGGGTGAGCTGCCAGGGTGTGCATGAGAGCAGAGAGAGGCCAGTGGAGGGCACAAGTATCTTTTAGAATGTGAAGGGTACTCACAGGAGTAAGGAAGCCCTGGCTGAGATTGGTTCCTTGAACTGTCCTGTTGCAGAGACAAGCTAAGGGCTGCCCTTGCTGAGTGGCTGAATGGTCTGGCTTGGAGAAGAGCTTACCAGGGGACAAGGACTTTGCTCCCTGCCTATGGCGAGTTGTGGGGAGTGCATGCTGCTTGTCTGTGCCAACAGTGTTGCTGCTTGTCATGACCTCCTGTATCTGTCCTGCCTCCTGGAGGGGAAGAGACTTTATGCAGCACTCACACTCTT